CAGTATAGGTTTATGAGGGGGTCCCTGGCTCCCCAACAGTGTGTCCCCCCACTTTTAAAATGGTTCTGACACTCATGTTTATAAGATAGTCACTGCCTGTATAAGGATATAAGGAAATGACAAAAACACAAAGTCTGCAGAAACTTTCAAGTAAAAAAATGTGTAATTTTCCTGGTCACCCCTGTGTGAGTAGTGGTCCCAGTCTGGCCACCCCTGTGTGAGTAGTGGTCCCAGTCTGGCCACCCCTGGGAAAAATGTCTGGCTCTGCCACTGGCTCCGGTCTTTTTAAGAAAGTTGTCATGTTGATCAAAAGTTATGTTTATTTTTGTCGCTTTGAAGCGCAAATCAAAATTAGCTTCGGTCAGTCCACAGTGAATATATTACAGGAGTGGACTTTGACATCAAAAACAAAACAATGTATCACTGATCATCAGTTGTGTAGATAAAAGCAGAGTGTGTATTGGTGTCTCCCTGTTGAGTTTTAAATCATATATTTTGTCTGTGCATGCCAGGTGTCGCTGGAGTTTTCTACATCTTCAGCTGTACCAGGAGAGGAGACCAAAATGCGTCTGAGTGCCCAGCCGGACTCTTTGTGTGGTGTCAGTGCCGTTGATCAGAGTGTGCTTATCAAGGAGCCAGGAAAGACTCTGGATGCTGATAAGGTAATACATTTTATTCATCCAACGTTTCTTTTACATATATTTTGAGATTAAGTAGGAAAGATCTTTCATTTTCTTGGGGTAAAACTGACTGAATTTCAGACAGTTTACGTCAAAATTTATAGCATTGCCCGAACATGAAGGTAGGTGATGTTGTTTTAGCCCATATTTATGTCTGTTTGTTTGCTAACAAACTATTTTGTGAACCACTGAAGTCAGTCAGTAACTTAGACTTTTAAGGAGCTGTGACCAAGTGGCTGAGGGAGTCGTCCTCTAACCAGAGAGTTGGCGGTTCAATTCCCCGCTATTCAGTCATATGTCAAAGTGTCTCTGGGCAAGACGCTGTGATTTAAAGCACTGATCAGTCTCTGTAGATGGATTTGCACATATTTGTAGAGAGTCTGAGTAGTGCTGATTGTATGTGTGTGGATGGGTAAATGAGGACAGATTATAGTGTGAAGCACAAAAGCACTATATAAGTACAGTCCATTTACCATTTAAGCTAGTTGAAGAATAACTTAGATTAATTCTCAGATTAATTTGGTACAAAAGGTGAGGAAACGTAAGATTAAAAAAACATTTTTATTGATCCCACAGTGGAGAAATAACAGGTCTTTGCAGCTGTCCTGGTATAACAGAGCTGGCTGCTGTAAAACACTACAGAATAATAGGAAAAAAAATTGTATAGGTCCTCTGGACGGGTTCTTCTTTAATGAAACGTTTCGTCTCTCTTCCAAGAGACTTCTTCAGTCTGAGAGTTT